CACCCTGAAGCAAAGTTCTTAACCCGAGGTAATATTTCTGGGTTAGCAGAGTCTGTAACCTGAAGCGCCTGTAACCTGAAGGTACCACTGTACTCTCATTTTGACTCAAGAAAATCACCATTTTATAGTTCAAATCGGGAAAAATAAAAACAGTACAGTAAACAGACAAAAGCACAAAGATTCACAAAATGTTTATGGGTATGCTTACCCCTGCGTACCTCCAGAAAAAAAGCACTGTATACACACACACACACACACACACACACTTGCACCATAACCCCTACAGACTTTGGTAATAGTTTGCGTTATGCAGCTCTTCTTGAAGACTCTATGAACTTCACTCAACTGCCATTAGCAGCTTACACGCCTCAGGGAAACACTAGATCCTTTGCTCCTAAAATCCCCTCTCACATTAGGACCATAAGGCTGGTCGGTCAGGCGCCCCTCTCACGCCCATACACTGCGACCCTGTGCACGCCTACTCCCGAGTAAGCCTCGCTGAAGTCTACGGGGCTCCAGCATGTGAGATGGGACGGCCACCTCTCTCTCTTTCTCTCTGGTAGCTCGCGCGGAGCTATAACGACCCTCTCTCTGTCCCCCGCCGGCCTGGGTGGCCTGTGCCCGCCTCCTCCCCGGTCCCTCGCCGCTTCCCCCACTCACCAGTCCGCCGCCCCTCGGTTCTGCGGGTTGAGCGCCCCGGTGAGGGTCCGGGCTGACAGCTTGATGTTGACCATGTAGGGCTGCATGGCTGTGAAGGGAACAAGGTGGGGGCGGACCGGTGGGCCAGAGCGGCCGACAGGTCAGGGGAAAGTACCTACGGAGAACTAAGGAAGGAAGCGATCTCCGTTAGATGGCGCACCACCAATCCAGCTCCCCGACTGATCCGGTGTACCCCCTCAGCTGAAGAAGATTGGTTCCGCCCCCAAATGATAGTTTGGAGTTTGTGTTGGGGGCGAGGGGGAAGGGGATCCTAGGCAAGATTGGGCAGGGCTCCCGGCTGATTCTTTTCCGCGTACTAAGGCAACGGAAACTGCTGTTGCTTAACCCGCCTTCGTTCTCTTTTGAGCATGCTCAGGAGCCTTCAGAGCAGACATTGCCTTTAGTTTCTCGCTTTAGTCACGCGGACGGGATTTCTGTCGTTTATTATTTTACTGCCTTGCGATAGAGCGAGGAGGCAGGGATTGTTCAGAGGAACGAAGGAGATGTAACTAAATCTAGAGCAGGAAAATGCACGATATTCGCAATTCTAATTTATTTTGGGAGGGTTTTTTTGGCGGAGGGAGGCGTGCCAGTGATGCCAGAAGCAAAAGTGTGTGTAGAAGAACTATGAATGTGACTACTTGGCGCTTTAGGCGCTCACAGAACCCTCCCTACCCTTGACTTAAGGTGAACAAGAGGTATTACCTGAATTCAAGGATACAGTATATAGCCAGACAAAAACAGTCAAGGAGGATGCAAAAAAGGGCTGGTGAAGGATGCGGCTTAGAGATTACTATGCCTGGGGGGGGGGGGGAGGCTGGGGAGAATCCCAAGGACCAGATAGAGATGCATGATGGGCTGCATTTGGCTCCTAGTCCCGACATTTCTCTTTCCTAGTGTAAGGTAGTTAAGGGTTCTCTGGAACACGTTTTGAAAAGCACAGGCTTGCTGCTTGTTGCCTTGAGGTTGTTAGAAAGAAACAAGACAAATTTACCTGACCAAGCTTGGATGAAAACCCTTTACTTAAGAATAATTTCCTGCTTGGTAACTGGCAGCTTTTTACAGAAGATACCTATTTTTAAGCCTAACAAGCCTTGTGGGACTGAAAAGCATGTTATTTTGTACTTTCTCTGATTTGTCCTTCCCAAGTGGGCAGAGGCTGGCTTGGTGCTGTATTGAAGACAAAAGAAGACCAGGCAACTGGGTAGCAAGGAAGTTCCCTGGAAGCACAGATCAGAGAATGTTTCTCCTGCTTCTCTTTTACTCCTGGCTCTGCACCATTCATGCTTTCTATAATTACTTGAGGGTTTTGCTGTTCTGGATAATGCCTTGTGTTGATAAGCTGTTTGCAAAGAGTGATTGCTATTTTCCGCTTTGTTTGGCTTGAATAGACTTTTGAGGTAGCAAGGTGACCGCAATTTTGTAGGATCTGGAGTTGTATAGGTTTTTGTGATACTGTATTGTAATAATTCAGAAATTTAATCCCCTGATGGGAAGAGACAAACACATTTTCCAAACAATGCTTTGAGAAACAATAGGATAATTCTGTTTCCCAGTCAATGTGCTGTTATCATAGACACCACCAGATTGATACATCTTTTCTATGTTATTCTTGACACACAGCCCTTTGTGTGTAGGTTACACAACTTTCTGGGAAGATGCATCTTGCATACATATTGTGCAGGGTGACTTTCCTTCCCTGATGCTAACCCTAAAGCTATTAAAGTGGCCTTTCCCAGCCTTGATTCCCCATATGTTGTGGAATCACAAGTTATTATAAGGTGAGCAGAGTCTGAGAAGTGGATATTTTTCATTCCATTTTTAAAAAGACAGCTATAATATTTTGCTATGCCTAGATAGAAGAGGTAGATAGGATTTCAGTCATGTATGAAGTCCTGCCATGTTGCAATTTCTTGCCACCCACAAGAGTTTTACACTTACAGCCCCCCCCCTTTTTTAGAGGGGAGTAACAAAGATAAGGCTTCTTGTCCCATTTCCCTGTAGGTACTGGGCAACATTTATTGTGTGAATATCATTAGTGAAAAGTTTCTCCACAGCTGTCACCAGCTGTGGAACTTTAGTTACTGTACATTGAACAGCACCCACACATAAGATGCTGTGCAGCTGCTTATAAAATGGAAATATTACAGTGTCCTGATTCAGACAGCATTCACACATTCAAATTCAATATGTTTTACTTGCATTTTCTACTATCACTCCAACATAGTCAGGTTATGCACATGAGCAGCCAACTGACTGCCAATGTATTTGAAGCAATCAGTAGTCCAACGGCTACTTCAGAGCTGCCTGTATTTTGCTCTCATCCCATATAATCAAAGAGATCAGTGGTCTTGCTATGGTGCAGTGAAACACTCCGGCCATTTTTACCTTTTACCTAACCCATTTGTTTGCAGCCAAGATCTGTTCTGCACAGATACATACCAGTTTTTGGAGGGGAAATGGGCAACGTATATCCTGCTGCAGTGCAACAGAACATTTCGGGGTGTGGCACCAGAGTACAATCCTACAATTTCACCTACAATCCATAATAAGGGGTACATTTTTACAAGATGCACCAGTGTTCAACAAACCTGCTTCTTAAAAAAAGTAATCAGTCTTTTTGCAATAAGAAAGGTGATGGGAAATGCACTGGAAAATATGGTATAACTGTTGTTGTTGTTTAGTCATTTAGTTGTGTCCGACTCTTCGTGACCCCATGGACCAGAGCACACCAGGCACTCCTGTCTTCCACTGCCTCCCGCAGTTTGGTCAAACTCATGCTGGTAGCTTCAAGAACACCATCCTACCATCTCATCCTCTGTCGTCCCCTTCTCCTTGTGCCCTCCATCTTTCCCAACATCAGAGTCTTTTCCAGGGAGTCTTCTCTTCTCATGAGGTGGCCAAAGTATTGGAGCCTCAGCTTCACAATCTGTCCTTCCAGTGAGCACTCAGGGCTGATTTCCTTAAGAATAGATTGGTTTGATCTTCTTGCAGTGGTATAACTAGCCCTTGACTATGATGTAGGGCTCATCCAGACTTCTTGTGCTGCATTTCTAGGCACAGGTCTGTGCTTTAAAGCTCCCTCTGATTGCGTTTTTTGTTGCCTGGTGCTTTCCCCAGAAAAAGTCATTCTTTACTGCTGAATAACAGCAAACTGCAGTCCTCAGAAAACCCGAATTGCTGTTTGTTCTGATCCAGTGTTAAAGAGCGTGTTTCCTTGGGGAACGTGATGGGAAAAAAGAAAAAGAAAAGATCTCAGACATTAATTTTAAAGTGCAGACCTGTCCCTGGAAAGTGCAGGACAAAAGGTAAGGTGCCTTCATTATATATCTTTAGGTGCCAGGCAAAAACATTCCTCTTCTCTCAGGTCTTTGGCTAATGAAACAATCTATGGCCTTTTAAAATGGGGACGGGGGGGGGGATTGTGTTTGTTGATTATTATGTTATATATTTTTGTATTTTTGCATTTTTATATTGTAAACTGCCCTGTGGTCCTCAGATGAAGAACGGTATAGAAATATAATTAAATAATAATTGTAAAAAATTTCAAATCAGGAGGAGTGCTAAATAAACAGATTGTCTGGAAGTGCCCTGAGGCAGCAGTGCCTGTTCTGTCAGAAACTCCTCAAAGGTTGCCTTTGCTGATTGCCTTTTTTTGGAGCAAGCCAATTGATTTGCAGCATTTTTAATTGAGTGTCACCTTGTAACACCAGCTTACCAGGCTTTAAGCCTTAGAGTTTTAAGGTGAGCTGCTGAGGAGTTTCATCAGGGGAGTGCAAAAATAGTAATTTACAGTAGCTGCTGACAGCAAGGTTAGAGCCAGTGTTATTGCCCTGGTAGATAACTACTACTCACCTCTCTGCAGTTATCAAAGATAATATCAATCCAGTGCCTTTGTGTGTTGTGACTGGCTACTCAGTGATTCAGGGCTATCTTCTGCTAGGTAAAGAGAGAGGCTGAAGGCAAAGGCAAGTGATAATTGAGAGGAGGTTGGACACGAAGAGAAGTGATAATTGAGAGGGAAGGTGGAGAAGGGGGAAATGCTGAATTGGAATTTGTACTCCTATGAAGTTGTCTCTGAGCACCTTGTTTGGTGGTATTAACAAGATGGCCAGCACTATGAAGGACAAGGTGTTGCCTGTGACTATTGCAAGGACCTCAGATACAGGGAGAACACCCCTACATGCTCAGCAAACACAGAGAACATCCACACATGCTGGGCCTCCTTGTGTAAGGAAAATCACAGATCACCAGCTAACTAAGATCTTTTCTTTTCTTTTTCTTTTCTTAAACATTAATTCGAATGATGCCTGCAGAATCTCTATGGGAAGGGCATTCCGCAAGATTTGGCCGCTAAGCCTGATGACTCAGTTTTGTGTTGACATCAGATGAGCCTCGCCAACTTGGGAGACAACCAAAGATGCTCTAGATATTCTTCTCAGTGATCGGGGTGGGATAGAAGGGTTCAAGCAGTACTTAACTAAGCTGGTCTGAGCCCAAGTTGTTTAAGGCTTTGCAAACAAGAAAGTTGAACTTTGCTTGGTAGCCGATAGGCAGTCATTGCAGATGTTTTAATAGTGGTGCCGTATGTCAGCTACTTGCCCCTACATTCTGCACCAGCTGGAGCTTCTAGACCAGACCAAAGGGCAGTCTAGAGTGCATTGCAGTAAGCCAGCCTGGAGGATACCAGCACATTGACTACAGTGGCCAGGCTATCCCTGACCAAGAATAGCTGTAGCTGGGGAAGCATGCAAGATTGATAGAAGGCATTGCTATCTGCAGAGGATGCTTAAGTAAGCTGTATCCAGAAGCACCCTCAGGACATAGGACTCAGCCACCCACAGAGCCTCCATCTGATATTTCCTCTCTGACTCTATCCACTTGGGCTTGATGGGGGCGAGCCTGCAGAAGGCCTCTGACCCAAGGCTCTTCGTGGAGGAGCCTTGCTTGCTATTCCAGCCTCTTCCTTGTCTCCACTGAGCTCCTTGGCACACACACACACACCCTCACTTTTTGGTTGGTTTGGTCTCAGTGTCAACAAAAGTTTAGACTCCTTATCTCCCTAGACAGGGCTAAGGTGTCAGCAATAATTAACATTTAAAGGATTTACCTGCACCTGGCCAGCAGGGGGA